CGGCGGCGGCTCCCCCTCAAAGGCCTGGCAGAAGAGCTCCGTCTTGCAGGCCCTGCGGAACTGCACTAGGTCCTGCAGGGCCCGGATCTCCTCCGGGAGCTCATTCCACCAGGTGGGAGCCGCCACCGAGAATGCCCTAGCCCTGGTTTGGGCCAGCTTCACTTCCCGGGGGCCTGGAACCTCCAGGCGATGGAAGTTCCCCGATTGCAGTGCTCTTGGGGCAATGTACGGCGAGAGGCGGTCCCTTAGGTAGGCCTACCTCACAGGGGGTCTGTTGTGGGGAGGAGAAGGGAAAGTGGATTGTAAGCCGCTCCACTCTCTTCTCTTCTTCTCTCCCTCTGGAAGCCCCTGCAACTTTCCCAGTGGATTTCACTCCCCGCCAGTCAGCTGTTAGGTTTAAGCCATTTAAACCGAACAACAGACAGGCCATGGGAGTGAAACTGACCAGGGAAAGCCTCCCCTCTCTGCCTTCCCTTCTCTAGCGGCCCCAGGGTAGCTGGAGAAGGGAAGTCAGGGAGCCCAGGGGTGTTTCCCTGGCTGCCTTTGGCTTCTCAGCCTGCCCGCCACATGCCTCCTTCCCTTGCTGAGCCTCCCCACTGTTGTGAAGAGACTCGGGGAGGGAGGGAAACTCAGCCACAGGCATGTTTAAACGCTTTTCTTTCCCTCCCCGAGTTCTTTCCCCAAAACCTCATTTTGGCCCTCATGGGGGAATGGTTAATGTCTCAATGTGCAGCTGCGTACTTCGGCACAAAGTGTTGGGTATGGTCAGCTTGGCCTACCAGTTTATCTCCGATGGGAGCCACCCAAGCCAATTTCAGTTTAGCCTAGATAGCTAAACTGCAGAGATGACTCGGGACTCGTCTTTTCATCCAGGGTGCTGTGTTTCCATCTACAGAAGCCTTGCGGCGGAGACTAAGAGGTTGTGGCTCCTACCTTTGCCTGCTTGAGCCTCTCCAGGGTCCCAACAACGTTCTCAGTCAGGTCAGGCCACACCCACCAAACACGTCCCACCCAGAGGCGGCAGTACTTCTGGATTCTAGAACCTCCACTCTGAGGTCATCCTGTGACATCACAGCCCGTCACTGACTCAGGTCCAATCTCGGTGCTGAGCTCCCAGTACCTTGCAGAGACTACATCTGCCAAGCCGGTGGGGACAGCCTTCATGGACACAACACGGGTGAAGCGTGACTTGGTGTTCCTTGCTCAACGGAGGGTACAAGGACAGATGAATACTTCTTTAGACAGCCAATGATTAATAGGTGGAATCCTCCAGGGGAACTGATCTGAGTGGGAGGTCTCCAGGTACAACCTGGAAGGTGGCAACCCTGGGAGATCTCCCGGAATTACAGCTGATCTCCAGACCACAGAGGTCAGTTCCCCCAGAGAAAATGGCTGCCTGAGAGAGTGGCATCCACGGCATTATACCCAGCCAAGGTCCCTCCCCTTCCCAAACCACACCCTCCCCAGGCTCTATCCCCCAAATCTCCAGGAATTTCACAACCTGAAGTTGGCAGCCCTATCATGGGGACATGCCAGGAGACACATTCCTTTCGCGATGTGGTTCCAAGGCCGTTTTGGTTGTTCAGTCGAAGAGTCCGACTCTTCGCAACCCCATGGACCAGATCACGCCAGGCCTTCCTGTCTTCCGCCGTCCTCTGAAGTTTGCTCAACTTCATGTTCGTTGCATCTATGACACTGTCTAACCATCTCATCCTTTGCCGTCCCCGTCTTCTTTGACCTTCAGTCTTTCCCAGCATCAGGGTCTTCTCCAGGGAGTGCTCCCTTCTCATTTGGTGGCCAAAGTATTTGAGCTTCAGCTTCATTATCTGGCCTTCCAGGGAACAGTCAGGGTTGATTTCTTTTAGGATTGACTGATTTGATCTTTTTGCAGTCCAAGGGACTCTCAAGAGTCTTCTCCAGCACCATAGTTCAAAAGAATCTATTCTTCGGCATTCGGCCTTCCTTATAGTCCAACTCTCGCAGCCATACATGACTACTGGGAATACCATTGCTTTGACCATGCGGACTTTTGTTGGCAGGGTGATGTCTCTACTTTTTATCATGCTGTTTAGGTTCGCCATCGCTTTCCTCCCAAGGAGCAGGCGTTTTTTAATTTTAATTTTAAACCAAGGCCGTAAAGGGCTCTAAAGGTCATAACCAGCACCTTGAACTGAAACTCACAAGTGACGCCGAAGGAGAAGGAGGCCGACAATCAGAACTCGTAGGTCCGTCTCTTGAGCCACGCAAGCGGACTGGAGCCCTTTCGATCGGGCGGATTCATTGAGCTCAGATCCAGAATCGACCCGCTGGTCAAGACTTAACTATGACTTTTAAAAGCTTATTGACGTGTGGAGGGCGAGGGGGACTTTCTTGGCGGCCATCTGCCACCCCGACATGCACCGAATGCCATGTCCTGAGGGCACAGCCTCTCCTCTGCCCATACCATTCCCAATTAGCAATAATGAAGGCAACGGCCCGCCAGGACCCCGGGGAATTCTTAGCAATCACGGGGGCCTTAATCGCATTAGGAACGATCGAAGGGCAATCAACACAGTGGCCTAATCAATGGACAATTTTCAGTACTTCTGCTCTCTCTTCTACTAGTTTCCAAGTGGCTGAAAGATATGGGAGGGGAACGGGCTGTAAGCGGAAGTATCGCCCAAGACAAATTACCCAAGGTCCCTTGCGTCCCATTTTAAGAGGTACACTGCCTCTGAACGTGGAGGTTCTATTTACCTGTTGCAATGAATAGCCATGGATCAGACCTGTCCTCCATGAAGTCCTCTAATCCTTTGTGAAATTTGTCAAGGGCCTGGTCTACATGCTAATGTTGCCAACCTCCAGGTGGCACCTGGAGATCTCCTGCTGTTACAATTGATCTCCAGACGACCAAGATCAGCTCCCCGGGAGAAAATGGCTGCTTTTGGACGGTGGACTCGACGACATCATATCCTGCTGAGATCCCTCCCCTCTCCACACTCCGCTCTTTCCAGACTCCACCCCCAAAATCTCCAGGGATTTTCCATCCCAGATCTGGCAGTCCTAATACACACAGCAAAATGAGGCGGTAGAAATTTAAGATGGCAGAACGGGCTGTCCCACTTCAGAAGGTAGGTGAGGGCGGCCTCATTCTTCATGCTCCTCCATGGAAAGCTCCCTGCGTTTTTAAAATATAATTAGCACATCAGAAATTCTAGATTTGCACGCTGTGATAGTGTTGTTGTTCAGTCGCACAGTTGAGTCCGACTCTTCGCGACCCCATGGACCACATCACGCCAGGCCCTCCTGTCTTCCGCCGTCCTCCGGAGTTTGCTTAATTTCATGTTCGTTGCATCGATAACCAGGGGTCATTTCTTAGAAAAAGAGGTGCAGGAGCTAATTAGCATAACGCATTAGCATAACTTATTTTGCCTATGCCAACGCGCAGATCTGCCCTCACAGAGGAGGGAGAGCTTGAGCCTGAATAAAACTTGTTCTTAAAGGTGCCACTGGACTATTTTGGACCGGGGGGCTTGGGGAGGGGGCTCTGCAGCTTACCTGTCTGCTTCTTGCTCTGACTGAGGGCTGCTGGGAGCAGGGGGCGGGGCTTGTTGCATGTGCCCACCCCCTGGCCTCTTTACTGCCGGAGCTCCGCTCCTGTGTGCTCCTGCAGGAAATGACCCGTCGATAACACCTAACACCGTCTAACCATCCCATCCTTTGCCGCCCCCTTCTTCTTTGACCTTCAGTCTTTCCCAGCATCAGGGTCTTCTCCAGTGTGATATCCAGTCTTCACACTATGAGAGTTTCCCACTGTCCCTACTAATGTAGGGGAACTTGGAAAAATGTAATCCTCTCACAGCCGAAACGGGTGCCTTTGATCACTGCCGCATCATTCTGCGGCCTAAGCGAGCGCCAAGCGCGAAAATTTGTTCCAGTGAACTCGGTTCTG